AGTCAAACACATTCAAATAAAGCTTTTTGAATCAAATTAAAGTCTAATGCATTCTACAAAGCTAATTGAATCAAATGAAAGTCAAACACAATCGAACAAAGCTATTTAAATCAAATGAAAGTCAAACACATTCTAACAATGCTTTTTGAATCAAATGAAAGTCAAATGCATTCAACAAAGCTAATTGAATCAAATTAAAGTCAAACACATTCAAACAATGTTAATTGAATCAAATGAAAGTCAAACACATTCAAACAAAGCTTTTTGAATCAAATGAAAGTCAAATGCATTCTATAAAGCTAATTGAATCGAATGAAAGTCAAACACATTCAAGCAAAGCTTTCTGAATCTAACGAAAGTTTAATGCATTCAACAAAGCTAATTTAATTGAATAAAAGTCAAACACATTCAAGCAAAGGTAATTGAATCAAATGAAAGTAAAACACATTCAAACAAATCTATTTGAATCAAATGATAGTCAAATGCATTCTATAAAGCAAATTGAATCAAATGAAAGTCAAACACAGTCAACCAAAGCTTTTTGATTCAAATTAAAGTCTAATGCATTCAACAAAGCTAATTTAATAAAATGAAAGTCAAATGCATTCTACAAAGCTAGTTTAATCAAATGAAAGTCAAACACATTCAAAAAAAGCTGATTGAATCAAATGAAAGTCAAACACATTCAAACAAAGCTTTTTGAATCAAATTAAAGTCTAATGCATTAAACAAAGCTAATTGAATCAAATGAAAGTCAAACACATTCTACCAAAACTAATTGAATCAAATGAAAGTTAAAGACATTCAAACAAACCTAATTGAGTCAAATGAAAGTCTAACACATTCAAATAGAGCTTTTTGAATCAAATGTAACTCAAATGCATTCAACAAAGCTAATTGAATCGAATGAAAGTCAAACACATTCAAACAAACCTAATTGAATTAAATGAAAGTAAAACACATTCAAACAAAGCTTTTTGAATCAAATGAAAGTCAAATGAATTCATTCAAGCTAACTGAATCAAATGAAAGTCAATAACATTCAAATAAAGATTTTTGAATCAAATTAAAGTCTAATGCATTCTACAAAGCTAATTGAATCAAATGAAAGTCAAACACAATTAAACAAAGCTATTTAAAACAAATGAAAGTCAAACACATTCAAACAAAGCTTTTTGAATCAAATGAAAGTCAAATGCATTCAACAAAACTAATTGAATCAAATGAAAGTCAAACACATTCAAACAAAGTTAATTGAATCAAATGAAAGTCAAACAAATTTAAACAAAGCTTTTCGAATCAAATGAAAGTCAAATGCATTCTATAAAACTAATTGAATCAAATGAATGTCAAATGCATTCAACAAAGCTAATTGAATAAAATGAAAGTCAAATGCATTCTACATAGCTAAAGCAATCAAATGAAAGTAAAAAACATTCAAGCAAAGCTAATTGAATCAATTGAAAGTCAAACACATTGAAACAAAGCTAATTGAATCAAATGAAAGTCAAACAAATTCCAACAAAGCTGTTTGAATCAAATTAAAGTCTAATGCATTCTACAAAGCTAATTGAATTAAATGAAAGTCAAGCACAATTAAACAAAGCATTCGAATCAAATGAAAGTCAAATGCATTCTATAAAACTAATTGAATCAAATGGAAGTTAAACACATTCAATCAAAGCTTTCTGAATTAAATGAAAGTCAAATGCATTCAACAAAGCTAATTGAATCAAATGAATGTTAAATGCATTCTACAAAGCTAAACAAATCAAATGGAAGTCAAACACATTCAAAATAAACTATCTGAATCAAATGAAAGTCAAACAAATTCAAACAAAGCTTTTTGAATCAAATTAAAGTCAAACACATTCAAACAAAGCTTTTTGAATCAAATGAAAGTAAAATGCATTCAAGAAAGCTAATTGAATCAAATGAAAGTCAAACACATTCAAACAAAGTTAATTGAATCAAATGAAAGTCAAATGCATTCAACAAAGCTAATTGAATAAAATGAAAGTCAAATGCATTCTACAAAGTTAAAGGAATCAAATGAAAGTCAAAAGCATTCAAACAAAGCTGTTTGAATCAAGTTAAAGTCTAATGCATTCTACAAAGCTAATTGAATTAAATGAAAGTGAAGCACAATTAAACAAAGCTATTTAAATAAAATGAAAGTCAAACACAATCAAACAAAGCTTTTTGAATCAAATGAAAGTCAAAACATTCAACAAAGCTAATTGAATCAAATGAAAGTTAAACACATTCAGACAAAGTTAATTGAATCAAATGAAAGTCAAACAATTTTAAACAAAGCGTTTTGAATCAAATGATAGTCAAATGCATTCTATATAGCTAATTGAATCAAATAAAATTCAAACACATTCAAGCAAAGCTTTCTGAATAAAATGAAAGTTTAATGCATTCATCAAAGCTAATTTAATGAAATAAAAGTAAAATGTGTTCTACAAACTTATGATTCAGTTTACTGGAGCTTTATTGAGGATATGCTAGGCTGTTTTGGTTTCCCTACTCAGTTTGTTCACTGGATTATGGAATGTGTGACCTCTCCGTCTTATTCCATCTTTCTAAATGGGGGTATGCATGGTTTCTTTCCGGGTAAGAGAGGTGTGAGACAGGGAGATCCCATGTCTCCTCTTCTCTTTGTGATTGTAATGGAGTATTTAACCAGGCTGCTAAGGAAGGTAGGGCACAAGAAGGGTTTCAAGTTTCACTATAGGTGCAAACAGTTGAAACTTAATCATCTGGTGTTTGCTGATGATTTAATGCTCTTTGCTGATGGGGATAAAAAATCAGTGAGCTATCTTACAAGAGCTCTGAAAATGTTTGAAAAGGTCTCGGGGTTGCTAGCTAACTCTGATAAGACTGCCATCTATTTTGGTAATGTTCATCCTGATATTAAGAAGGAGATTTTACAGCACTCGGGGTTTGTGGAAGGCTGTATGCCTTTTAAATACTTGGGTATACCTTTGAATAGCAGATACATGAAGGTTAGTGATTTTGATGGGTTAATTGACAGTATGCTGGCTAGGATGACTAGGTGGTCCAGTAGGAACCTTTCTTATGCTGCAAGAGTGGTGCTCATAAATTCTGTTCTTATGAGCCTACACACCTACTGGGCACAATGTATTCTGTTTCCCAAGACAGTCATTAACAGGATAAATCAGCTATGCAGGGCATTCTTATGGTGTGGGTCAGCTTCATTGTCTAAATGCCCTCCTGTTGCTTGGAGTTGGATTTGTCGAGCTAAGAAAACTGGTGGTATGGGGATCAGAGATTGTGAGCTGTGGTTTGTTTGGGAGGTTGCTCAGAAACAAGACTCATTATGGGTTAAATGGATCCACAATGTCTACATGAAAGAGACTAATTGGTGGTCCTATGTCCCCAAGAAAGCTGATGGTTGGGCTTGGAAGAGGATCTGCTCTGTTAAGGATGAGTTAAAGGATGGTTTTCACTCTGAACACTGGAAAAAGGGGAAGTACTCTATCTCAGATGGATATGCCTGGTTACAGAGAGGTTCACAGACTATAGATTGGGATAGCTGGATCTGGAATCATTACAATGTTCCTAGACATTCCATTATAGCTTGGATGGCTATTTTGGGCAGACTGAGAACAAGAGATAAATTACTGAGAATGGGTGTTAGTGACTCTGCTACTTGCTATCTTTGTGGAGATCAGAGGGAAGATCATAGTCACCTATTTTTCAACTGTCCTTACAGCAGAAGATGTATGAATATTATCTGTCATTTGTTGCAGATTTCTAAAAAACATGTTGATATTAACAGCACCTGGAAATGTTGGAAAAAATTGTTTAAAGACCCTATTAAGAGAAAGGTGGGCTTTGCTGTCCTTACTGGTTTGGTGTACTACCTCTGGTATGCACGGAATCACACCTTCTGGAATGCTGCTGTTCCTCATCCGAGAAGATTATGCACTAAAATGTGCACAGAGATTGTTGATAGAATTCAGCAAAATATTGGTAGTAAGTGGAAAAAACAGCATTGTAAATGGCTGTTTATGCTTAGAAGTTGTATTCCTCGATAGGCCCTTTTGTTTTGGGCCTTTTAGCTTTGTTTTTTTTTAGTTTGTCTTGGTTTGTTTGCTTTGTGCTAGAACTTATGGGCTGTTGTGCCTTCCAACTTTGTGCCTAGCCCATCCTAGCTTTGAGGCACCCTTCCTAGAAGGTGGTCTCTCCTAGGTCTGGGGTTGTACTTGAGGGCTTGTCCCTCGTCTTTTGGTATTAATAATTTTCTTACCTTTTCAAAAAAAAAAAAAAGAATCTAATGAAAGTCAAACACAATTAAACAAAGCTATTTAAATCAAATGAAAGTCAAACATTTTCAAACAAAGCTTTTTGAATTAAATGAAAGTCAAATGCATTCAACAAAGCTAATTGAATCAAATGAAAGTCAAACACATTCAAACAAAGCTTTTCAAATCAAATGAAAGTCAAATGCATTCTACAAAGCTAATTGAATCAAATGAAAGTCAAACACATTCAAGCAAACACTAGGCAAAAAACCCCAATCCCCACCGGTTCAAACCACTCATTCCCCACCGGTTTTGAACCGTTCTTGATTTGGGGGGTGCTAAATCCCCAAAGATTTCCCACCGGTTCAAAACCGGTGGCAAAAACCACTTTTCCCACCGGTTTTGGAGTGAACCGGTGGCAAAAACATGTGATTTATCTTATAGCTGGAGGACTTTTCCCACCGGTTTTCAAGTGAACCGGTGGCAAAACTATAACATTTCCCACTGATTTTCACACTGACCCGGTGGCAAAAGTGCCCCAAAAAATTAATTTTTTTTTTTATTTTTTGCATTTTTTTCACTTAAATTGTACCAAATACTTATATATAATCATAATATACATAAAACACATATATTTGCCTCAATAACTTGTAATATTACACTTTAAAAAACTAAAAAAAAATGGACATATAAACACTAACATATATATTTTTCGACATATAAACATTAACATATGCTGTCTGACAGTATACAAAAACTAATAGAACTCAGGACTTCAAGGGTGGCAAGAATGCAAAACTGATGCAGAGCAGAGCACAGTGACATTGGTGGCAATGGTGTTTGTCTTTGTAGTATCAAATGCCATTTCCCCACCCAAGCTGCTGTCCTCATTGCCGATGGCAGCTCACCTAAAACTGGAATAATCAACCCAAGATTGTAATTCAAGCCCTATAGTTCTATTTCACAATAAATTTCAACCCAATTCGGATACTACCCTTCTCTGTACAATTTCCAAGCAAATTCAAGAGGTTCCTGTGATGCAACCTTCCTAACAGCTTAACCTGAGAAACAAGAGCATGCAATAAAAGAAGGTGAGATCAAGAATCAATCATCAAAATAACTACAGCATAAAAAGAGACAGCAACTTGTCTACCACACAGGACATCTAAGGATGAACCTTGGTATAGATTAAATGCCGCTAAGAAGCTGCACTGATTAAAATATGACATTACCTGTGTTTCAAATTCTCGCTCCCCTTGCTTTGAATCAGTTGCCAGCACCTTCACAGCAACTATTTCACCAGTTGACATTTGAGCTTTGTACACAGGACCATATGCACCCTGGCCAACCAATGTTGTGAAATTCTGAGTCGCCTTCTGCAAATCCCTACAAAAGAAGTAGCCAGCTTATACTCTTATAGTCATCAAGTAAAGTGCAATCAGAGTTCTGTTCATATCAGTAGTTTAACCATGATTTGAATCTACAAGAAATTACTCTCCAACAAGGATAGATTGACAAAGAGGGTGGAGAAAGAGAGCACTTGAGATACTGAGACCAAAAATCATATTAAGATGTAAATTATACTTGAATTATACATTCTTAGCAAAGCAATGACACCAGCCAAACACAGTAATATGACATTATAAGCTGTAATGAGGTCTACTACGACAATTATTTATTACCATAAGAAAGCAATTAATACCTCCTTTTACGATTCTCACGTAAATTACAAAGAATCAAAACAGCAGCATATATGTAATAAAATCTAACACCAAGATTCAAGCATCAAGTTATGAAACATAATTGATTTGTTAGCAACATTTACAAAATCCATTGATCAATCTATAAAAATGGCACTAATCGAAATGATAAGATTTCTCATCTTCACTACCCAATTCGGTTTTATCCCTATGATCACATAAAGAGGATTGCCAATTCCTTATTTTTAATGTCTCATCGGAATAATTTTAACATTGTCACTAAAAACTTAAGTAAATTTCGGAAAGCAAACCTGTAAGCAAACTCAAGTATACCAGATGCAGAAACAACATTACTTCTCTTAAAGCCGTCAAGCCACAAAGACATCCCACTGACACTTTTTCTGTATCGTCTTGGAGATTTAGGGCCAAGGGTAACACTCATTCCATAAAACAAATTAACATTAAAATAGTTCATCCAAACAACTTATTTTTTTATTTATTTTTTTTTTACCAAATGATCCATTTACACAAAGCAATTACAACTTACAATCACCGAAGCATGGCAACAGTTTAAAGGTTTTTCGACTTTCCATGGAACCGAATTATCAAATGTACTCAACATAATTCCGTACTTCCTTTGTGTATTCGTACAATAGTTGTATAAAAATAGATAAGCAAGCTAAGCAGTTGACCTGAGCAGAAGATATGGCATAAGCATTGAGCTCACTGTCAATGTAGTAGTAGCTAACACACAAATCATCTCCCTGATAACATCATCAACAAAACATATCACAACACTTATACGATTGTACCACAAATCCACAATGTGCATTCCGTAACCCGGTCATCATTTCAATTTATATCATTGCTCTTTATGTCTCTCTGAACATCGAAAAAAAAGAAACCTGCACAAGACTCCAAAAATTACGTTAAATTCTTCGACTTTGTATAACCAATAGTTCAATTTTCCAACTTCGAATAACCCTAAATTGAGTATATACTAACAATTAAATACATGATTAACACTAGATTGTCAAAATTAATATTAGATGATTAAAGAAAAAGAAGCATCTAACCTTAGAGACTGCTTCAATGGAGGAGAGAAAGCTCATAAGCCCCTTCAATGGAGAATTTCGAGTACGCTTAAATGGAGGAGAGAGAGAGGAAAGAGTACAGCGAGAAACGCTTAAATGGACGAGGGAGAGAGGAAGGAGTACGACAAGAAAGATATGAAGGAGTATACAGAGGTTCGTTTTAATGGAGGAGAGGGAGAGGAGAGAGAGGTAGCGCAGACGAGAGAGGAGGAAAGATCAAGGAATTGAAGGAGAAAGAAAGAAGAATATAAGCGGTTTTTTTATTTCATAACACTTTTCCCACCGGTTTTGTTAGAACCGGTGCGAGAAACATACTTTTCCCACCGGTTTGGTTAGAACCAGTGGCAAATCCATTTTCCCTCTTTTTGTTTTTTTTTTTTTTTATAAAACAAAACTTTTCCCACCGGTTTTTATAATCCTTTTTCAATTTTTCTACTAGTGAAAGCTAATTGAATCAAATGAAAGTCAAACACATTCAAACAAATCTTTTTGAATCAAATAAAAGTAAAATGCATTCAATAAAGCTAATTCAATGAAATGAAAGTCAAACACAGTCAACCAAAGCTTTTTGATTGAAATTAAAGTCTAATACATTCAACAAAGCTAATTTAATTAAATAAAAGTCAATTGCATTCTACAAAGCTAATTGAATCTAATGAAAGTCATACACATTCAAACAAAGCTAATTGAATCAAATGAAAGTCAAACACATTCAAACAAAGCTAATTGAATCAAATAAAAGTCAAACACATTCAAACAAAGTTAATTGAATCAAATGAAAGTCAAATGCATTATACAAAGCTAATTGAATAATATGAAAGTCAAACACATTCAAGCAAAGCTAATTGAATCAAATGAAAGTCAAACACATTCAAACAAATCTTTCAAAATCAAATAAAAGTCAAATGCATTCAATAAAGCTAATTGAATCTAATGAAAGTCAAACACAGTCAACCAAAGCTTTTTGATTCAAATTAAAGTTTAATACATTCAACAAGGCTAATTTAATAAAAAAAAAAGTCAAATGTATTCTAGAAAGCTAATTGAATCAAATGAAAGTCAAACACATACAAAAAAAGCTAATTGAATCAAAATGACAGTCAAACACATTCAAACAAATCTTTTTGAATCAAATTAAAGTCTAATGCGTTAAACAAAGCTAATTGAATCAAATGAAAGTCAAACACATTCGAACAAACCTATTTGAATCAAATAAAAGTCAAATGCATTCATCAAAGCTAATTGAATCAAATAAAAGTCAAATGCAATCATCAAAGCTAATTGAATCGAATAAAAAACAAACACATTTAAACAAACCTAATTGAATCAAATGAAAGTCAAACACATTCAAACAACGCTTTTTGAATTAAATGAAAGTCAAATGCATTCAACAAAGCTAATTGAATCAAATGAAAGTAAAAAAAAAAATCAAACAAAGTTACTTGAATAAATTGAAAGTTAAACACATTCAAACAAAGCTTTTCGAATCAAATGAAAGTCAAATGCATTCTACAAAGTAAATTCAATCAAATGAAAGTCAAACACATTCAAGCAAACCTAATTGAATGAAATGAAAGTCAAACACATTCAAACAAATCTTTTTGAATCAAATTATAGTCAAACACATTCAAACAAAGCTTATTAAATCAAATGAAAGTCAAACACTTTCAAACAAAGCTTTTTGAATCAAATGAAAGTCAAATGCATTCAATAAAGCTAATTGAATCAAATGAAAGTCAAACACATTCAAACAGAGCATTTGAATCAAATGAAAGTCAAATGCATTCATCAAAGCTAATTGAATTGAATGTAAGTCGAACACATTCAAACAAACCTAATTGAATCAAATAAAAGTCAAATGCATTCATCAAAGCTAATTGCATCAAATAAAAGTCAAATGCATTCATCAAAGCTAATTGAATCGAATATAAATCAAACACATTCAAACAAACCTAATTGAATCAAATGAAAGTAAAAACATTCAAACAAAGCCTTTTGAATTAAATGAAAGTCAAATGCATTCAACAAAGCTAATTGAATCAAATAAAAGTCAAAAACATTCAAACAAAGTTAATTGAATCAATTCAAAGTCAAACACATTCAAACAAAGCTTTTCGAATCAAATAAAAGTCAAATGCATTCAATAAAGCTAATTGAATCAAATGAAAGTCAAACACAGTCAACCAAAGCTTTTTGATTCAAATTAAAGTCTAATGCATTCAACAAAGCTAATTTAATTAAATAAAAGTCAATTGCATTCTACAAAGCTAATTGAATCTAATGAAAGTCAAACACATTCAAACAAAGCTGATTGAATCAAATGAAAGTCAAAAACATTCAAACAAAGCTTTTTGAATTAAATGAAAGTCAAATGCATTCAACAAGGCTAATTGAATCAAAGTTAATTCAATGAAATGAAAGTCAAACACATTCAAACAAAGCTTTTCGAATCAAATGAAAGTCAAATGCATTCAAACAAAGCTTTTTGATTTAAATTAAAGTCTAATGCATTCAACAAAGCTAATTTAATCAAATTAAAGTCAAATGCATTCTACAAAGCTAATTGAATCAAATGAAGGTCTAACATATTCAAGCAAAGCTAATTGAATCAAATGAATGTCAAACACATTCAAACAAATCTTTTTGAATCAAATAAAAGTCAAATGCATTCAATAAAGATAATTGAATCAAATGAAAGTTAAACACAGTCAACCAAAGCTTTTTGATTCAAATTAAAGTCTAATGCATTCAACTAAGCTAATTTAATAAAAAAAAAAAAGTCAAATGCAGTCTACAAAGGTCATTGAATCAACTGAAAGTCAAACACATTCAAACAAAGCTAATTGTATCAAATGAAAGTCAAACACATTCAAACAAAGCTTTTTGAATCAAATGAAAGTCAAACACATTCAAACAAAGCTTTTTTTTAATCAAATTAAAGTCAAATGCATTCAACAAAGAAAATTGAATCGAATTAAAGTCAAACACATTCAAACAAATCTAATTGAATCAAATGAAAGCCAAACACATTCAAACAAAGCTTTTTAAATCAAATTAAAGTCAAATGAATTCATTCAAGCTAATTAAATAAAATGAAAGTCAAACACATTCAAATAAAGCTTTTTGAATCAAATTAAAGTCAAATAGATTCGACAAAGCTAATTGAATCAAATGAAAGTCAAAAACAATTAAACAAAGCTATTTAAATCAAATGAATGTCAAATGCATTCAACAAAGCTAATTGAACCAAATGAAAGTCAAACACATTCAAACAAAGTTAATTAAATCAAAAGAAAGTCAAACACATTCAAACAAAGCTTTTTGAATCAAATGAAAGTCAAATGCATTCTATAAAGCTAAATGAATCAAATGAAAGTCAAACACATTTAAACAAAGCTTTTTGAATCAATTTAAAGTCTAATGCATTATACAAAGCTAATTTAATTAAATGAAAATTAAACACAAATAAACAAAGCTATTTAAATCAAATGAAAGTCAAACACATTTAAACAAAGCTTTTTGAATCAAATGAAAGTCAAATGCATTCAACAAAGCTAATTGAATCTAATGAAAGTCAAACACATTCAATCAAAGTTAATTGAATCAAATGAAAGTTAAACACATTCAAACAAAGCTTTTCGAATCGAATAAAAGTCAAATGCATTCTATAAAGCTAGTTGAATCAAATGGAAGTCAAACACATTCAAGCAAAGCTAATTGAATCAAATGAAAGTCAAACACTTTCAAACAAAGCTTTTTGAATCAAATGAAAGTCAAATGCATTCAACAAATCTAATTGAACTAAAAGAAAGTCAAACACATTCAAACAAAGCTTTCTGAATCAAATGAAAGTTAAATGCATTCAACAAAGCTAATTGAATAAAATGAAAGTCAATAGCATTCTACAAAGCTAAACGAATCAAATGAAAGTCAAACACATTCAAGCAAAGCTAATTGAATCAAATGAAAGTCAAACACTTTCGAACAAAGCTTTCTGAATCAAATGAAAGTCTAATTTATTCAACAAAGGTAATTTAATCAAATAAGAGTCAAATGCATTCTACAAAGCTAATTGAATTAAATGAAAGTCAAACACATTCATGCAAAGCTAATTGAATCAAATGAAAGTCAAACACATCCAAACAAAGTTAATTAAATCAAATGAAAGTCAAACACATTCAAACAAAGCTTTTTGAATCAAATTAAAGTCTAATGCATTCTACAAAGCTAATTGATTTAAATGAAAGTCAAACACAATTAAACAAAGCTATTTATCTCAAATGAAAGTCAAACTGACGTGACTCAAGAGGGAAATTCTTTTGATGAACCAATCATATTGGTTTTAAGTCCAATAGGGTTCGAGCTTGGAGTAAAGAATCAAGAATGGGTAACATGCGCAGCCATTAAAGAAGAACTCAAGGACCAGTTGGGTTCGGACGTCGGCAGCGGCGGCGACGCGTCGATCTGGGTGCCACGCGCAATATAAAGATGTAAATTATACTTGAATTATACATTCTTAGCAAAGCAATGACACCAGCCAAACACAGTAATATGACATTATAAGCTGTAATGAGGTCTACAACGACAATTATTTATTACCATAAGAAAGCAATTAATACCTCCTTTTACGATTCTCACGTAAATTACAAAGAATCGAAACAGCAGCATATATGTAATAAAATCTAACACCAAGATTCAAGCATCAAGTTATGAAACATAATTGATTTGTTAGCAACATTTACAAAATCCATTGATCAATCTATAAAAATGGCACTAATCGGACTGATAAGATTTCTCATCTTCACTACCCAATTCGGTTTTATCCCTATGATCACATAAAGAGGATTGCCAATTCCTTATTTTTAATGTCTCATCGGAATAATTTTAACAT